TATGTATATGAAGAAATACCCAGGTATATTTCCTTACCTGTCACCTGGGACACCCTGTCCCCACCCTCCCCCCCACCCCGAGCAGAAACAAGATACAACCTTTGAGTTTAGTGAGCCTGGATACAATCATCCAGTATTTCCAGCGTGAGTACTCCCACATGCTCTGAGCGACGGATGCACCATTTGACCCGTGAGCGGTGTCGTGCATTAGCGCGATCCTGTTCACATTACTCACTCATTGCACGCCATTTCTCGGTTCCTTTATCCTCTGGTTAAAGAATGCAGACCTCGTTTTGATAGCAGAAATATATGCAAGGTTTATGGAGACAGAGCCAATAATATGTACCACACGACGTCATGGCTTCCTTGCAAGGTGAAGGTCACGTTACCTGTATCGCCTTGTGTCATCTTGGCATTTAGATGTGCCGTTAGTTCTGACTCTATAATGGTAAGATATCATACTGAAGACCTTGGTTCGAATTCCCAATAGGGACGCTCGTTATCATGATTCACCTACCTGTATGGGGATTTTTCAAGGTTGTCTATGTACTTTGCTCGGTCCTATCAGAGATTGACGTCGTTAAATTTGGAAGCGCGTTTCTTTGAAAAGAAAATTACACCCTTGAAAGGGGCGGGATCTCAGAATTGAAGGAACTTGCTTCGAAATCACTTTAACATCATCCAGTGCCAGATCTGCGACAAGCATCGGCGATCATGATTCTACATTCATTCCTTGGCTCGGATGCTCTTTAAAAAAAGGAAAGTTTCTCTGATCGTTTCCTGTTGTTCAGGTTCCTTTAGTAGGTTGCTCAGGGCCTACCCCTGCCTCGTTTGCCTTCAATTTTGGCAATGAGAGCTAGAGAGCGAAATCACCTACTTGTACCTAAATATGGTATTACTAGAACTCCGATCTTGACTGATCCATGACCACCTGTGACTGACATGTGCCGACGTATAAACTTCAAACGAGAAATCTTTCCCCCTTCCTCCTCAAGTGGTACGAACTCCGTCATGTGTGAGAGCGAAGTGTATTCAGCCGCCGTGTGTGTCGTCAAAGAAAAAAAAGCTTTGGTGTTTCGTTGTCACATGTGAACTCATTGTGGGCTTAACAAGCCTCTCTGGAAGTTCAGACGCCCAGATACAACAAAGATCTACTTATTATTACGTCAGTGAGAGTATTTATTATTATCAGCTCGGATACACATGCAGCCATGTGGCAAATCAAGTCTGAAACAAAGAAGGAAAAAAAGGAAACAAATAACTAAAAACAAGACTAAAACAATATGGTAGAAAAAGAAAACTTTACAAACAAAAGAAGGCGTTGGCACGAAAAAGGTATTCACAAACATAAACAAAAGCCAGAGAAGAAAATGTGAAATATCAAGGTTCTTCATTAACGTTATCTGTAATTTCCTTGGGTGC